AGATCTGTCCTGGAGGAAGTGCACCCGAAATGCTCCTTGAAAGCGAGAATGGCCAGACTTCGTTTCACGTACTTTGTTCATGTTGTCAGAAGTGACCATTCCCTGGAGAAGGATGTTACGCTTGGTAGGGTGGAGGGTCGACGAAAGAGGGGAAGGCCTTCAACGAGATGGATTAACATGGTGGCTGCCATGATGGGCTCAAGTATAGCGGGGATCATGGAGCTGGCGTGGGATCGGGCAGTGTTTCATTATGCTGTGCATGGGGTCACTATGAATCGGAAATGACTCGATGGCACCTAACAACAGCAACAGCCAAAGCATAAGCTCTAAATGCAATGTTTGCAATTTTACTTCCAAAACTGTATGGAGCTAAAGGCCAACTCTAGTCCTGATTTTTATCCCTTCTGTGAGCCAGACTTTCATTTTTGACTGCCTCGCAGACACTTTTCATAGATGTGACACCATCTACCTCAAACCAAGCAAGTTCTTCTCTTCCTTTCTCCAACTGCCAAACCTATTGCTTACCCTGTTTTCTGAGAACCTTAAGAACATTTCCAATTCCCCGTCCTCAACATCCTGTCAGTTATCAGGTTCTGTCAATGGTATCTCCAAAATGTCTCTCACATCTGTCCACCTCTAATATCATTGCCCCCATACTAAACGAAGTTCAGTCCTTCATTTACTGTAGCCTCCTATGAAAACCTATTAGATGGTCCCTGCCTTCATCTTACATATTGTTGCTACCATCAGTCTCCACTCAAAACCCTTCAAAAAGCCTCCGGAGCCCATAAAATACAGTCCTAATTTTTTTAGTTTGGCCTTCAAGCACCATACTTTATTTATTCCCCAGCCTGTGCTCGGTAGCCTCCTCATGACATCCATTGACACACACACATCCATGGGTACATGCACACAACACTAGCTGATATGTTTCCTGCCACTGTCCCTCCACTCACACTGACACTTCTACTTCTTATTAACCCCACTTGCTTATGCCAATCATCTTTCAACATCTAACTCAAAAATCTCCTTCAAAAGAGGCTAAATGAGCATCTCTCTCCTTCCTGAACATTGTCCAGATGCACATTTTACATGAAATTGTATACTATGACCAGCCAGGTCAAGATATCAAGTATACTCAAGACTATGACAGAAACTTCCAAAATAACATCTCCTCACCAGCTTTCAGGAATAACATAACTTTTGGTAATGTCCCGACAATTTTATAGAGAACATCTGGATCTTTTCATATTGTTATAGACTTTTAAAAAATGTTTATTGTGATTA